AGATTTTAGTTATGATGAGTATGAGGTTGGTTCCTAAAATGTCTTTGCATTCAATTGAAGGTATTGAAGAATCAGAGTGGGAGGAAAAGAAAGCAGCCAGTTTCGTCTTCTGGGCCAGCTAATAGTTCAGGAACGGCTAACACTGCGGGACCATCACCAAGCTCAGCACCTTCTACACCTTCAACTCATACTCCTGGAGATGTGATTTCTATGCCTAATCTGCCGCACAGTGGTGGTTCCTCCAAATCTATGATGATGTTTGGCACTGACGGAACTGGGACTCTTACATCTCCATCAAATCAGTTGGTGGGTTTTCTAAACTGTTAATGGTAGTGCATAGAGGTTTTTGTAATCAATATGAATTAGTAGCATTAACTATGGGCTATTTTGCAGGCTGATATGGATAGATTTGTTGAAGATGGGTCGCTTGACGACAATGTCGAGTCTTTTTTATCCCATGAGGATGGTGATCAGCGGGATGCTGTTGGGCGGTGTATGGATGTTAGTAAAGGTGTGTGTTTTAGCCTCACTCAACATTATTCGACAATAACCCGATGAACTTTTCTTCTGTAATCCAACAGTATTTCTCAATCTCTCCGATGATGCCTCTGGACTAGGTTTCACATTTAATGAAGTGAATTCAGTACGTGCAAGCACAAGCAAAGTTACGTGTTGCCACTTCTCATCTGATGGAAAAATGCTTGCTAGTGCCGGACATGACAAAAAGGTAATCCAGAAATCATCATTAAATCTTGTGCATTCTGAAACCTAAGAGCCACTTGGCTTGGTCCATTTTTCAGGCTGTACTATGGTACACAGACACTATGAAGCCCAAGACCACGCTTGAGGAGCACACAGCTATGATAACAGATGTCCGTTTTAGTCCTAGCCTCCCTCGACTTGCAACTTCTTCATTTGACAAAACTGTCAGGGTTTGGGATGCTGATAATGTAAAGTGAAAGTTGATCGACTTCACTATTTTGTTTTATCTCTACATGAATATGTTGGCTTATTCGATGTTGTGATCTCTTAAGAGTTTGTGAATCTCTACTTTGCAGAAAGGTTATTCCCTTCGTACTTTCATGGGACATTCTTCTATGGTTACGTCACTTGACTTCCATCCCAACAAGGATGATCTCATATGTTCCTGTGACAACGATGGCGAAATAAGGTACTGGAGCATCAACAATGGAAGCTGCACAAGAGTGTACAAGGTAGATTTTTTCTCTTCAAAGCCAATAGTTCAACATTAGTTACTTTCTTTAATCAGTGAATCGAGACATCTAAATTTCACTATTGTCTTTTTCACAGGGTGGTTCCACCCAGATGAGGTTCCAACCACGTGTTGGAAAGTATCTCGCGGCTTCATCAGCAAATGTTGTATCTGTACTAGATGTAGAAACACAAGCTTGCCGACACTCTTTGCAGGTTCATTGAACAAACTTTTCTCTTATTCGATATATTGTATGATATATCTACTTACCAAGAGAGCAACTAACAGAAAACATTTACTAATTCCTCTATACAGGGCCATTCTAATCCAATAAACTCGGTTTGCTGGGATCCTTCTGGTGACTTCTTGGCATCGGTTAGTGAAGATATGGTAAAAGTTTGGACGCTCGGTACAGGTAGTGAAGGAGAATGTGTTCATGAACTAAGCTGCAACGGCAACAAATTCCAGTCTTGTGTTTTCCATCCAGCTTACCCTTCGCTGCTCGTAATCGGTTGTTACCAGGTAAAGTTGATATCATTGACAAAATGTATGTTCAAAAAGGTTTTGTGCCAAAAACAAATCCCAAACTTTACAATAATCTGGTTTGTGAAAATGTGTGTGGTGCAGTCTTTAGAACTATGGAACATGTCAGAGAACAAGACGATGACATTACCGGCACACGATGGTCTAATTGCGTCATTGGCTGTATCAACGGCAACTGGATTGGTCGCATCAGCTAGTCATGACAAGCTAGTGAAGCTGTGGAAATGAAATTAGTGAGAAGGAAAAAATGACAAGTTTGTGTCGAAGATATTATTATTCTCGT